TATGCAATGTGCCACATGTAACCAAGTGCGGTAAACAAAAATATAACAAAGGAACTTTAGGTGGGAGTTTGGCAACGCAACTTCATTTAAGCACATTTTCCACTCTGCGTCACGTGGGAATTTTAACCCTAAATCACTCAAGGTGACGTGAGACGTGAGTGGAAAGGTATTTGACAACCATGTGAGCTGTTCTGAACACGTCACAAAGTTGAGCTGAAAACGAGAAGTGCTTCAGCATAAACGTGGACTCTAGGAATAATCAGCCTCCACATGATATCAGATATACAAGTAATCAATGCAATTGAAAATATATTTTTTTTTTATCTGAGAAGGTGGCAAAAGGGCAGGCGGTTAACCTCATCTGAAATGATAACCGTCGCCCATTGACATTTGTCCCACCCTTAGGGTTGCGAGATGCTTTCCCACCTTTCAATAAAGTGAGCCCCGGAAACCTCACTCACCAGACGAAACGCAGAAGTGTCACACATCTACTTCACGCGGTTCTCCTGTGAGGTCGTGGTATTGTGGTGGTGGTAAGGCGGTGGTAGACTGTTACGTGGCCCTACCATAGTAAATAGATCAAATCAAATAACAAATCAGAGAATAGAAAGTGCAGGTGTTTATTTTTGAAAGCGTTTAAAAATTATGTGACATAAAAGATTCTTTTGAAAGATTGCCATAATAATTGTGCAAGGCGCATTTGACTACGTCGACAATACTTTAGTCAAGCAAAAAGTTGTGGAATAACAATTCCAGAACTGAGTTAAACTAAGTCAACTAATTAAATAGGTCAATAAAACAAAAATAAAAATTAAATCCTTCTTTCCTAATTATTGTTGGACAAACGTTGACACGAGATTTGGAGCCAATATATTTGAGTCGGAATTTTCGAGATCTAAGCTACGAACGAAGGCAATTCGAGAATTGGTTCAATAGACGATTCAACTGGGTCGGAAGCAATTTAAAGTTTTTGCCGAATAAATACACCAAGTCAAAAATGCTCGCATGCTTAGAACTCTACGTGACTGTGCAAATATAATTCTCAGATTAATGATCGACTCGTTCTTTTATGAAATTTTAAAATTATCGTATTATTATTTTTGGCGAAAAAACTGTTCGTCAATAAAATACTAGTTTGAAGTCGCAAATTACGATTTAACAAGTATAACAATGTTTGATTTATAAACATATAAGTCTCTAAATTGCGTTTATAAAAGTATATCGTAACAATGTTTGTTTTATAAACATGTTCAATAAAATATTTATTGTGCCTTATTTCTATGTCGCTATATATTGTACTAGTGATGTGTTTAATATAATCCTTTCATTAAAATTATATTGCAGATAATTAAGCAGGCGTCAACAGATTATTCACACGCACGCATTTAACAGCACTTAAATAATTGTTACACTTCAAAATGTGAAGCGCTTACTTCTATTTTCGACTTGTTCGGTGGCAATTCTGGCATTGACAATCTCCGCGTTAGTAAAAGTAATGCTATGCTATAAAATAATTGATAGAGATGAATAGTGATTCTCAACATAAATAAAAAGGAAAGAACCAAGCAAAAGCGAATCAAAATTATAACAAAACGTAAAATAAAAACAGATAAGTTTTACGCAAAAACGCCCCGAAAATGATTCCCGTTATAAATACTTCCTTTTTTTTTAAATCAACAAAGAGGGAAAGAGCGTAGTTTAAATGCCTTTTGAAGTCTGCGAATTTTCCTACGGGGCATCTAACGAAATTGTTCTTTTGCTCTTCATAAGCGAGCTCTTTGCACCCCCGGCTTTTTTCCAGTGTGAGAGTGGAGCAAAGTGTGACAAAGAGACCTATAAGCTACCTTTCGACGGCAGACTTCTAATAATCGAGACGCTCCCTTTTCCTTTTGCGAAATTCGATCCATTAAGCTTTCTGCGTACTGTACGGGCGTTCCTCGCAGAAATTTTAGCGCTACCAGGAATCCGAATAATGGGAACTAATGATAGAAAATTTATTGATATGATATAAATAAATAAATAAATAAAAATATCTTTATTCACATAGACGCTTGCGCGTTCTTATAAAGCGTCAAAATTTTACAAAGAAATTAACACGTTCGTAAGTTACCACCGGTTCGGAAAGCAGTTTCTGTTGAGAAGAAACCGCGCAAGAAACTCAACAGTTGCTCTTTTTAAAAAAATAAGACTTGAACGAGACCCTATTGGAGTGAACCTATCTCTTGCGCCATAGGTTGCGAGTTCGATCCCCGCTACTAGAAAATATTCTGTAATTAATGTACATGGTGTTTTTGGTGTCGTGGTGTTTTTTTATGTGTTACATCAATTTATTCATAAAAGAAAAGCATGTTAAAGTTAGTTTATGAGTTACCTAAATATATTTACGGGACTAGCTATCGTTTTGTAAAAATATGTACTGAAAATATTATTTATTTATTGTTATTTATGTATTAATTAATGTCAATGTTATAGCTTTGTATTTATAAAATTAGAACGGCTTTGGCGACCTGGGGTACCTGTTTTCGTTTGACGGATATTTTTACTCGAAAATATCTAATTACAGATGATGGGATCTAATTACAGTTCTTTAAGGCACGGACTAGCAAAAGAAGCATAATAATAATATAATAAAATAACAATAGTGTAATAAAAATCAAATAAATATCCCTCCATAAACTTCCTTACTATTTCACGCTTTAAATTACAGGCCTACTTACGCGTAATTTTGCCGGTTTTTTTGGAGGCCGTAGTTAATACACGGATGTCCATATGTGCAACAGCACAGGCATTTTCATTTTTAAAGTATTTACATAACGCGTGTTATTGTACAATATCACAATTACTAGAGACTTCTAGAGACTTCGAAAGACAGCGCTGGGCTATTAATCAAAAGCAAGATTACCGTGAATTCCGCCAGACGAGTCAGTCACCAACTGAAAATTTTGACGTTGTTTTTGCTGGGTAACTTTTTCTCAATTATCGGAGAGATGTGGCGTTCATTTGCAAATAACACGGTTCCTTGATCAAACAAAGTTTATTAAGGCAATTGATCCGTATCTGGAAAAAAATATTATACGTTTTATAAGCACTATAAATTTTAAAACATGAAAGATTAAGAAAATTTCTGTTTGATGGAAATATATTCATATAACATAATATGATTGATTTAAAGCTTAGCGTCGAATAAAGATTCATCTTATTACAATGCTAGTATTGACGTCAAAGATATTATTAGCAGTTTATGAGCACGTCTCCAGTCTAGGTGTTGCGGTTCCGTTTTCGTGCGTTTTTATACGATAGCCGACGTGACTTATTTTGGCAAAACATCTGCGGTTTACTATAATAACGAAAGAATTTATGGAGATGTTACATTCTTAATGTACAATGTGTAGTATGTAGAGAATCGGTTTATGATTAGATTACAAACATTATTAATATTTAACAGAGTTACTTCGATGCATAAAACGGTTTTATTTATTGAAGTGATTCGCTCGAATGTAAGAAATTACTTGTTAATAAGAACAAGTGTGACTAAAAAAATAAGAAAATCTGCATGAAAAACATTTGAAGAAAGCAATCCTTATTGCTTTTTTTTTGCAACATTTCTATGTTTTCGGGCTCTATACCGGAATAATTTTTTATGATAGACACAATATCGCACAAGCAATATGCACGATTGACGTCCAATTTTCCGCAGACCGCGCCGACCTAATTACCTCATTTCGTAATTGCCTTGTTTTGACGTTCACCCTTTGAGAGGCGGTCGCGAGGTTCCCCGTTCTCTAAAGATATTAATAACCTCCTAAGACGGCTTGTCTGTCTCCATCCCGCAAGTGTACGTCGGTACGTCCCCCTCGCAACTCCCGTTTTTAAGTAATACCCTCGGAGGAGATAAGATGATGGTTTTACAAGCAAGCAGTAATTACTCTAGACCAATTAATGCTCATCAGTTGGTAGGGACATTGTTCACGCTATTGTTCTTAGGAATTCCTTTAGCTTTAACTAGGCTGATTGTATGCGGGAACCGAGACGAAAGAAGTCTTAGTTTGTTCACGTTGAAAGGGTTGGGTAATTCGTTTGGTGTTTTAGAATATTTAATGTAGCCCCGCTTCATAATCTGCATTGGCCGTTTACTGCATTTGCCACTGACAAATAGCGGAATGGTTATTTAGAACGTTTGCAACGATAATATTATATACAAACTAGCGACCCGCCCCGGCTTCGCACGGTTACAAAATATTATACATATAAACCTTCCTTTTGAATCACTCTATCGGGTAAAAAAAGTCACATCAAGATCCGTTGCGTAGTTTTAAAGATCTAAGCATACATAGGGACAGACAGGCAACGGGACGACTTTGTTTTATACTATTTAGTGATACGAGGTAAATATGACTCTATGGCGCCGAAATTGAGGCACAATTAATCAAATTACGGAAATTGTTGTAACTGATTAATCTGCTATTTCTTTCCATATTATGTTCTGTATCATTCACTTATATTTTATGTCATTGATGAAAAGCGGAAAATTTTTTAAAAGCCGCGCAGTATGGACATGCTCCATCTGCATCATTGGAGCACAAATATCATTGGTTTGCAAGCTCTAACGGCTGAACTTTGCAATTATATGACATAAAATATTTAAAAAAAAAGTATGCACTGGTGGTTTATCATTTCTGGGAATAAATCTAAAATAAAAAAAATAAGATTACTCAAATAAAATAAGCTCAACAAGAAGATGTTACCTAAATTCATTACATCTATGATAAATCTATGATAGATTTATCTTTATTACATTATTATAGTTATATTTTCATTGTTATAGTGCCTCATCGTATTTATGTTATGTGAGTAAACAAACTATTTACCGTTCAACTACTTAGTGTTTTGCAATTCACAAAGTTGTCGAGGAAATCTTTTTAATTTGTATAATTAGCTCCTCTAGTGTTTACAGATTCAGAATCAAAGCGCCGACGGCGGGTAAAAGGAAACCATAATTAGAGGAGACAAGTTGCTGATGCTGGTGGAAGTTGCTGACATCGGAGGCGGCCCAAGCGGATGCGGTAGCGGGAGCGGGAGCGGGCGCGGGCGGTGGCGGAGCGGAGAGCGCGCGCGCCCTGTAATTTCAACGTACCCCTCACCGGGCGTACGCTAACTAATTTGTCATCCGAATATCAAATTACGCACGAAATTGCGCGTAACAGTAGAACCGGCGCGGCGGCACCACTGTAAAATAAAATTCAATCATCCACCGTCCGTTGTAAAATAATTGCGGCCAACTGAGCAATCCGAGAGTCGATATACACAGTGTAATGCGTCAACTGTCCCTCGAAAACGGCGCTTTGAATGTTTAGTTCTCGAATTTAGAGCCGTTGACAGCGTGTTTTCTTTTTTATTTTTTTATTTTAGCGTTTGCCGTAAAAGTGGCCAGTAGTGAATGATTGGGGTTGCAGTTTTAATAAACATTTAAAAGCGATTTGCAGGTTAAAGACATTTATTTATCACAAAAAGAACATTACATAGTTCACTTAAAACGTGATAAACATATAGAAGTCTTAAATATATATATGACACAAACAACAGTCTCAGACGGATAACAGTGCTTATAAATCTAAGCAGATAGTAATTTGTTTAATAGGCGTTTTTTGAACAATGCAATGGTTTTACATCCTTTAATTTCCTCAGGCAGTTTGTTGTATAGTTGCGCTTCCACAAATCGAATATTTTTTTTTCGTACACCAGTTCTACATGTTGGTAATTCAAGGTTATGTCTATTTCGGGTTAAATAACGATGTGATCTTTTAGTAAAATTTATAAGTGAGTGCACTGATTTTAAAAGTATTTTTTTTTACAAAAAGACATGTACTGTATGTATATAATTTATTGATATTTAATATTATTGTATTTTTGTAAATTGTGTCGGTTGATGTTAGATAATGGTAGTTAAAAAGAATCTTTACTATTTTATTTTGTGTTCGCTGTAGTTTATTTAAGTTTGTCATTGCTGAACTTCCCCAAACTTGTATTAGGTATTCTAGGTGTGGCTTAATGAGCGAGTTGTATATAAGTTTTTTAACGGGATACGGAAAACATTTAGCTATTTTTCTTAAAGATACAATCAATGGTGTCAATTTAGAGCGTATTTTATCTATATGGCTTTTCCATGTTAATTTACTGTCCATTATTAAACCCAAATACTTTTCTTCATCGGAAATTGCTATCGGTTGATTCGCTATGGTAAGTGGTACATGCTCAGCAATTTTTTTTATTTCTTGCAGTAAAAATCATGTGGAATGTTTTATTGATATTAAGTGTTAGCAAGTTTTTTGTAGCCATAACTCAAATTTGTCAAGATCACGTTGGGCTTCATTGATAACAGATGTTATTGAATTTCCATAATGAAAAATACTGGTGTCATCTGCATAAAGTGTTATATGCCCAGTAATGCCTATTGAATTAATATCATTTACATATATAAGAAATAGTAATGGCCCTAAAATAGATCCCTGCGGTACACCGAATGAATTTTTTTTGTGCTGACTTTCAAATTCACCAATCCGAACAACTTGATACCTATCGTGTAAGTGTGATTCAAAAATTTGTAGCGCTTTTCCAACTATCCCTATATTTTTAAGTTTTTTGAGTAGAAGTCCGTGACTTACTTTATCAAACGCCTTCTTTAAATCTATGAAAATTCCTAAAGCTACTTGCTTATTATCAATAGTTTCTCTGATTTTACTTACTAAATCTATCGTTGCAGTTAGTGTGTTAGATTTAGGTCTAAATCCGTATTGCTGATCAATAAGGAAATTGATTTTGTTTAAAGGTTCATACAACCTTGAGTATATAATTTTTTCAAAAACTTTAGAAATTACTGGTAGCACAGATATTGGTCTATAATTGCTAGGGTTGGTTTTATTACCATTTTTATAAATTGGGCTTACCTTTGCTATTTTAAGGCTTTCTGGAAAAAATGCATTTTCTAAACATGTATTTATACACGATTTTAAGCTATCGCATATTAAAGTTTTAATACACTTAAGTGCCTTAGTTGAGATGGAATCTATTCCTGAGCTTGTATTATTAGCCAAATTATCTATTATTTTTATAACTTCTTCCCGTGTACATGGTCTTAGATTGCTAAGCGTAAGTTATTTTAATAATTTAAAACCAGTGACCTCCATTATAACTAGGTATGTGTGTGAATTAACTATTTCATAGCGATAGAAAATTTCATAACAAAAACTTGCAAGTGATGTAATAAATATAAATTATTTACATCCCATACTAATAAGTAGCCAATCCCATACAATTTAGATTAAGATAAGATATATAACATTGTTGTAAATCGCTATATTAGAACAAAACTGATATTAAGTAAAAATATTCTCAACTAAATATTGTCATTCTCAATTGCTACTGTAATGTCGCCATTTCTCTCGGAAAATACGTTCTCAAAAAGACCCAAACTCAAACTTCATAGGAGAGGAGACATGACGAATGACTGAATTACTAATCAATTTTATGCCACTATTGGTCCGTGAGCACCGCATAACTCAGCCCTAGAGGGCGCCGCGTGGGGGAATTCCCGTCGCGTGCTCTTCCGCATCCGCAGAATGAAATGGCATAAGACGTAACGACATCTAATTAATAACGTCTATCATATCTCTATTGCACGGCTTATGTGAGGAGGGCCCAAGAGCTTAGCTTAAGGGGATTGTTTCGGGCGCATGATTTGTGCCAAAGGTCGTTAATGCGATATTTCTTTTGCGTTATCGTAAGGCGGATGGTTAAATTCGCGATTGCGGGGGTAACGTCCGACCGTTCACCTTCTCTCTCCCTTTGTATTCATTTAAAAACGATTAAAAAAATATACTGTAAGTTCTTATTTCAGAACGATTGATTTAGAAATGTATGAAATTTGTATATATAACTCTTATAATGTATATATAACTCTTATAATATATATATAACTCTTTTTATATAATCATCATCATATACAAATAGTATTATCCACTGCTGGGTATTGAATTCACCCTTGTGTCATATACCTATGTTTTGAGCGGATTGCATCTAAGTCGTCCTGCAACCGTTACGATATCGTCGAACCCTCGGGACTGTGGTCTACGGACGTCACACCTACCTTGACAGGGAGTCCATTCTACTCCATCTTTATTATTATTATTTTTATTTATTAACAAAGTAAATACATGATGCGGACATGAAACTCTCTACAGCCCGTTGTGCGACTCGCATTCTGTGCACTGAACGTGAGCGTCTATGTCTCAACCCGATAGGTCATGATGAGAGAACAGACTGATTTTTTCTATGGAGGAAAGGGGCAAAAAAAAGCCCCACCACCACCCGTGGACACCTGCAACACCAGAGGGCTTACAAATGCGTTGCCGGCCTTTAGAAAAGAGTATGCTATCTTCTTGAAGGTTCCCAGGGCGTAATTGTTCGAAAAGACCGCTTATATATCCGACCGATTATAGATCTTAGATGAAATCTACTGGGGCTTTCGGTCCCTAAGGACGTCTCCCAGCTTGCCAAAGGCGGCCCAACTTGAGTAGTTACATGATTTTATCATTAATGAAATATGATGACATTGAACTATTTTGCTACTATTCAAATCTTAACCGCAGGTAAAACGGTCCTTACAGAGCAAGTAAGGTAATAGTTAACCGTCCAAAACTTTTTTCGTTTAAATGTAAGCAACAGTCTAGCTCGTATGGTGAGAGACTAATGTGTCGTGTCGTATGAAACAAAACTAATAAGAATTCTATCCTTATCGGCGACTGTTTATTAGTATCAGATACTGGCCACGAGAGCAAGAGATATTTAAAAAGAAATTGACAAAATTATTTCATTTGTCAACTTGTCACCCGCTCGTGTGTTAAAGGGTTAATAACTTGTAGAGTACGAATAAACGGAAGTACAACGAATAATGGCGGCGGACAAAAGGCAGCGATAATTAGTGACAAAATGGTAACATCAGTCCACATCGATGTGCTTGACATGTTTCATGATAATTGGATAGGACAGGACAATGGCGATGCAACCCGACGGGGGCCGACGCCGCGTTATTATGACATATTGTTTCGAAACAAACTGTTTTAAATATGTCAACGTGCTCGTGTCTCGCGTGTATTCGTGTTTTGAATTGCGACCGCTTACCTCAGTACAGGGTGGTTTTACCCGCCGCATCGAGTCTATTAATTTATTTATGTATCTTTAATTTACATGAAGGGCAACAGTGAATATATGTATATACATAACGTTCACTAAAAATGATAATCAATAACTATTATATATTTCGAGGTTTATCGCAGTTCATTTGAAATATTATTTAAAAACATTTCATTGTTATAGGTAAAAAAAAAATCAAAAAACCTATAAATGTCCCATAGACAATATTTAATACAATTGTATAAATTCAAAACTAACAGTAATAGTTTTATTTCTAAGTCTATTTATCACTACTTCACCCAGTGATCGAAATTCTACCATAGTTAATAGTTATACATGGTAGTGTGAGTAACGTTATTTTTATTGATTTAATGTATTTTTTATGCATAATTTAAAAAAATATTAGCATTCTGCACTCCTCTACATAAACTGTACAAATGAGTGTATAAAAAACTTCAATGAAATTAAAATTAAATAAAAGAAAAATATTGAAAGAAGATGAATAAAAAATAGATCAATGGATGTTCCATCTATAATTACCCGTCATGCCCAAGCGACGTTTTATAAAACTTTTAAGGCACTTCGATATTGCTAAGATTGGATTTATTTACCTTAAAAACAAAATTAACGACACCAAATTGATGTCGGATTCGATAAATTAGGGTCTACAGAATTTTCATATTTTTCGTTGCTAAGCTTTTCAAGTTATAATGGAATTTCCAAAAAGTTGTAGTAGTGGGTATTATAAATATTAAATTATACGTAATGTTATGATCCATATAGCTTACTGTGGTGCAATGCCAGTTGATTTCTTAACTATAATCATACAATTTAGTCAAATATTTGGTTGTTACTTAAGTAATCGCCGATTTTCATGATTTGCTCTTTTAAACATCGATATTGTTTATGGTACTCGGAATTCAAAATTCAAGTTAATCTTAAAATTCAATGATATTTAAGTTCATTAGTTGTTAAATAATCCTAAGCCACGGTAACAAAAAGTAAAAGCAAACTCAACTCAAACCAGTGATCTCCAAAATAACATCTTTCTTTTTTAAATCGTCTTAAAAAATCGGGAGGCTCAATTCGACTGTAGTGTTTTTATTTATAATTTGTTACATCATAACTTTCTATTGAGTGAACCGATTTTGACGATTGTTTTTTTTTGTTTTTTTTATTTGAAAGCAGGTGCTTCCCATGTGGTTCTATATTAATTTCATTGGCATTGGATCTTGGGCTACGGAGATTCTTAGGGAACTCCTGAAAATCAATAAAGAGCGAGATATTTGAAGTCGTTTTTTTTTTCGTTAATAAAAATATCAACTTGTATAATATAATAAAGCTCAAGAGTTTGTTTTTTTTTGTTTTTACTCGCTTGTTTGTAATCTCTGGAACTAGTAGTTGGATTTGAAAAAATATTTTTGCATTTAATAGCGCAATACTTGATGAAGATTGTAGGATATTTAACATCATGCTATGAACTACGAAGGTTAAGTAGAAACGTTTGTCGGGGCTGCGGTCGTATGGAGCAGTATAGTAAGTTCATGCCATAGCTCCTGCTTTTATCCTGCCCTCAAAGTGAGGAAAGCGGTGTAGTTCTTGATATAATACGCAACGCAGAAGCAGTCATTTATATTGAATTAAAATGATTTACAACAGATTTTGCATTACAATGAATAATGCCTGCACGCTTTAATTATTTTAATAGCTTACAATTAGCGGCGAATTACATATACATATAGCATTGTATTCTAAAACCACTCCGCATTTTAACCGGTAACTCGATAACTGCGCATAGCGTTTCCAGGCTCTAAAAGCGAAGGCCCGCGATGAAAGCAATTAAAACTTTAACAACATCAAGCCCCTGCTCTTCCCAATTTAGATATGTCCCGTAAATTTTTGCGTCAGCCATACAAAGTTAATATTTGAGAGCCGCGAACGTTTCTACGCTTCGACGCCACGGAACCCTAGATTTCAGACAAAACTCGGGACTTAGTGGACGGAAGGCGGTCTCACAGCCTCGTGTCGTTTATAGTTCTAAACAAATTTTCGTTTGCCTTTTATGACGGATAATTTGTCAGGGTACGCTGGCGCGAGTCAAAGACAATTTATCTGTCTCTGCCGCTTTATTTATTGCGGCGCGTTCGCATCCACGCTGAGCCCTTGAAGTTAGCGGTTAATGGAGCCTCTTTGAGGTCGGCACGTCACTCACTTTGGTTGGCGCGGGGGCGGAGGACGGCCATTCCGTATGTGGCTCCCTCGCGGACTCGCTTATTTTTTCCACTGCTCCACTGAGTGACGGGTTGATGGGAAACGAATGGGCAGATCGGATGAGCATTATCTGTACTAATTCGCTTCGAGTTTCCCTCGGCGAGAGAAATAAAAACACGTGAAATGGATTCGACGGGCTATTGAGGTTATGCGGTTTTAGCGTTTTATTTGGCTCGGCACTGCTTAGTTATGACTTGGTTCTCACTCAATAGTTTAATTAATAATTTTAATTTCTTAGTATCCTTATGAGAAGACATGGACTTCTTTATTATTTTAGTTGGGTCAAAACACCTATCTAGATAGAGTATTTGCTAAACTACTGGCTTCGGCAACGGGAGTCGGGGATTCGATTCCCATAGAGGATCAATGTTTGTTCGACACTCAAATAATTGTTTTGGATCTGGTCTTTGTTCCAAAGGAGGGTTGGCGTCAGACGAACGGGTGGACGTAAAAGAAAATCCTAGCCGAGAATCTAGGTGGGATAAGGGTAGGAGAAAGTAAAAAGAAGACCAAACTATAAAGTTACTTAATCCAGAAATAGAGATTTTGTGTCGAACTGGTTTGCAGTAACGAATTTTCACCTGACCCCGATTAGAACTAAATGTGTGCGTTTTGTGTTCTCTAAGGAGCCACACTTCGATTATTAATGTATGAGCAAAGATTCTTCCACATATGATTTTAACAGTATCTCTCCCGAACATGACTGTCTCCAAATTAGAATGGGAAGTTGATCTGTAACGACATTTCAGCTGTTCCGATTTCAAATTAATCGAGGCGGATGCAACGCAGATAGTTCTATATCCATTTTTAGGATAAATAACGCTTAGTATTTTGATGATTTCAACGCAAGAAATATTTGTCACCTACCATTCTACATATAAAGAAATATTAAACCCCATTTACACACATCACTAAATAGTAAATGCTTCGCTCTTACATTATGGAAACTCATCACTGTTATGCGGCGAGATAACGTCTTTGGAATTAATAAATGTAGGAATACGTAAAAGCTGCAAATGTATTAAGAAGCTTACAAAACCAATTTAATATTTTATCTAGTCCGAGATTAACCTTCTTCGCGAATATTTAATATAACACGCTCACCAAAGGACCGGTCGGGATTAAGAATTGTGGCTACATATTATGAAACATGCTCTCGAATATACCCATAACGGAGACTTCTTAAAGAGTGATAATACATAATAAAGATAAAGTTTACAGCCAACAGAAATCAAAGGTTTTCATAATGACAATAAACTATATATTAGTTGGAGCTGAATGCTACATAGTTAACATTACTTATGTAGGACCGCTAAAATTGCAAACTCATTGCAGATTATATCATGCAACTACGAAAACCTTTCAGTTAATAAATAAATCAGATTACCAAAGTTTATACACCATACAATAGATTTTTTTTTAAAACATTGCCCGCACTTTAGGATAACATTATCCTGTGTTGTAAGGACGTTTTACAAATATAAATTTCACATGGACCAACACCCAGATGCGAAACAACTATCACTGCGGGTCTCACAAATAGTTGTCTAATTCTATTCAGATCATTAACAGCCTAAAATATCAACATTTATCTACTTTCTTGCATTTTTTAAATAGTGCCATCTAGTGAGCAACTGTAAAATATGGAGGAACTTCCATATACTATTTTACAATGACCATTACTATTTTACAATGAAAATTAATGCCAATTTTTTATTCTTATTCTTGTTATAAGTCAGCCCAACAAATATTTCGATGTGACTTTATTATGATTTTTTTTCGGGACTTCAGCTTGCGTCTTCCGGTTATAAAGTTAAACATCAATTTTCATAACCTCAAGCAATCTTCATGGCTCCACGCTGTGCCAGAATCAATCGGCCAAGGTGGTCGGAGGCGCGATGAAAACTAACGATCGGCTAATACCATTAGTGTCGCTTCGTATTCATTTCACCGAAACGAACAACTATGATTAATGGTGCAATGCATCGGTAACCACTTACCACATAAAAAAACCGGCCCAGTGCGAGCCGGACTCGCGCTCGAAGGATTCCGTACCATCATCTATAAAAACGGCAAAAAATTGTATCTGTTGTGCGGGAGCCTCATTTGAATATTTTTTATTCTTTTCAGTATTTCTTGTAGCGGCAACATAATTACATAATTTGTGAAAATTTCACCTGTCTTACTATCACGGTTCATGAGATACAGCCTGGTGACAGACGGACAGACAAACGGACAGACAGACAGCGAAGTCATAGCAATAGGGACCCTATTACGTTTTACCCTTTGGGTACGGAACCCTAAAAATTTTATTTTCACTGCATCCCCCTTGTTCCAAAGAGGTCTAATAACTAATGGGTGCCGTGACTCGACCGTTTCGCGTTTGTTTTCCGCGCCCGTGTAATTGAATAATTCGAAATTGTAATGGGTAAATTTACAAGTCTCATAAATATATAATTCGTTCTCGAGACGTCTAAAATAACGAGATTAGCTCTGAGCTTTACTACAGTTACTCCTTAATGATATCTGTATTTCGGGAAAATCTAATTTCACGAAGATCTCAAGAACCACGACAAGTGGTAGGCGAGAATATTGTAATTTGATCTTTTTGGCTTAAATACCTTCGGGCTTAGGATTATTCTCAAGTTCAAAAGTATTATAATATAGTTTTTTAGCTTAGAGGCAATTTTAGGGACAATAATAACATCGGCTTGTACACATTCTGAAACAAAACTTTTATTTCTTTTTTTAAAAGGACAGATATCATTTCTCTAATTTACAAATATTTCTTTATAAAATGTTATGTAAAGTCGTGCTCGTTTTCTGTAAAGGGACTACACTAGACGACGGCCAAACCTTGGTTAAAAATTTATTAAAAAAAAAAGTATATGTATAAAAATATTTTTCTACTGAGGGTAATAATCTGTTACAAAACGAGAACTCCTGATCGGGCTTCCAATATTCTACTATTAGTTGGAAAATATTAATAACCTGAATAGATTTTGGAATTATATTTGGTTACTATAGTTGCATCTTTCACATTTGTGTACCCGTGGACACAATTCTTTCGATACAGGTAGGTAAGTAAAAGGTTGTAATAGTACCTTAACTGTACTTTTATAGTTACGTTAACTGAGTCAGTAGTTTAAAAGCTGAAATTTCTATAACTAGTGACAATATAACCAATTTCCATATTGGGTTTGGTAGGTGCGCAGTGTTTATGGATATGCTTTGACCACAAAGGCGGCGACCTCCGAACATCAGATGGGCCAAATGAACTGCGGTCAGGACCCTGTGCCAACGGGTCAATCAGTTTCAAGATCCCCTACCCTAGAGTAAATAGTGTAGACCCGTAACGTACTGGGATTTGAACCCGCACTAAGGGAATATGCAGATTAATTCCTTGTATTGAGTAAGTGTAAGAGCCGTGATAGCTCAGTGTCCGGGCGCTCGCCTTTAATTCAATATACTCGAGCAACCTGAGTTCGATCCCCAGTGCCGGCACCAATGAAGTTTTTAACTTTAAGTGCTGACTTATCCCGTGCTCCGCGGTGAAGGAAAACATCGTGAGGAAACCTGCATATTTTCGAAATAATAACAAAAAAAAGAAAAAATTTTTCGAAGATATGCGAAGTCCGCCAATCCGCAGTGGGGCCGCGTCGTGGACTATGCCCTGATACCCTTTGTGCAGAGGAGGCCTTTGCCCAGCAGTGGGACAGCTATAGGCTGTTACTTTACTTTACTACTTTTATTGAGTAAGTGTAAAATTGGTTAATTTAATCTCGTTTTTTTTAAATTTTGTAATAGGTTTGATGTTAGTTCGTCATTGCCATTATTTTTGTTTGAAGCTGTTGTCTTTTATGTTTTTACATAGTACATTTAACCTACTTTTAAAGTTATCAGGTTAAGAATCTTGTGTTTTTTTTTCTTAATTGTATGTTTTGGTGATGTGTAAAATTTATTTTTAAATTTTCTAGAATAATTGATGGAACCTTAATTCTTCTTGTTAATGTTCTGTTGCGGCGTGTATTTTACATGATTAATTATTTTTATTACTTTTGAATTAAATACAGATTGAATTATCACTGTTACTATATTAGAGATGAATTCGACATTTAAAAAAAACACTTCTCACTACACGGTGTTCCACAGCCTCTATTTAAGTTGTTTTAGTAAGTTGAAATCTAATAAATATCTAGGATAAAACAAAGGCAAATATGTTTCTGTTATTAGCTAAGACATTTAAACAATAATTCCTAGATTCGTCAATTTCATAATAGTTCTTAATGAACTAAATAATGTCACCATAATATGGTGACATTATTATGGTACAAGTTGTATCATATTATGGTACAACTAGACGTATTATAATATCGTTAATTTCATAAAAGGAACGGTTTAACGGAAGCATATATTCTGATTGGTAAGGGTCAAACGCCCCTAATTCTTTTTGATATCTTTTGTCGTAAGCTAAGCAGATCAATACTATCTGAGGATACAATGTTCATTCCTATTATCATTAGGTCCAGTACAAGGGTACTCCCCAAGGGACGGGGAAAGAGAATACTAATAAATAAAATACTGGAGATAAATTATAAAGTAATAAAATTTAAGTAGTGAAAGTAATAAATTTAGTTTTCGCGTACTTCCGCCGTTTTAATATATGTGTGACGCATTAATTATATGGAATAAATTGATGATTTACGATTAATTTATACCGAATAGGTGCGTTTCCTGGAACATGTGGGTTTGAATCCCGAAGCAACTGTGGTAGGGCCACGCAACAGCCTCGGCTGTTGCACGAATGGGCAGGCCCGTTCGGGTAAGTAGCACGATCTCACAGAAGACCGGCGTAAAGTGGAAGTATAAAAAATACTTTCGCATTTCGTCTGGTGAGTGAGGTAGCCGGAGCCCAATTTTCAAAAGGTTGCCAACGCATCTGCAACCCTCGGGTGTAGCAGATGTCCATGGGCGACGGTTTTCACTTAACCGTCTGCTCGTTTGGCAACTTTTAACATAAAAAAAAAGTTACAAAATTTCAAATTATAAATTTATGATATTATTAGA